TATTACAGCAAATCCACTAGAAACAACAGGATCTCGCATACGGTTTATTTTCAAGGATTGACAGTTACAGTGTCGAAAATTTGTAACAGGAATATAGCAACTTCATGAGAACAACCTACTTACGAAAAAAAACAAACCCAAACCTACTTACAGGGCAAGAAAGATGCAACTAAATAGTGAACTATGGACTAACTGCACATCAAACTAAAGGCACATGGAAGAAAAAAAAAATATTTTTTTCTGGTTAAGCCCTTGATAACTGGAAATTAAAGCTCTTCACACAGTACTGATTTGACAATGCCTTCCAACTCATCTGTCCAAAAGGATGCTTTGAGATCTTGCACATGTATCTGTACCTTGTTGGGCATAAAACACAGCAGTTATTCATAAAACTTGAATAAAACATGAAAATAAACAATAAACAGTTGCAGGGTTATGACTGGATGAAGTTTCTGTCTCGGATGCAGAGCTCAAAAGCAGTCTGTTGGCTAAGCCATGTCTGAATTCAGCAATGATTTCATTCATGTATTCAACACTACTGTCATGACTAACTCTATTAATGTCACTTGATCAAAATAATACTTGTAATCCTGCTAATGCCAGCCGTGGTTAGTGAGCACTTCTCAGCTGTAATGTTGACTTAACCAGGTTAAGAGGACTTAATCTCTCTTCTTCAGTTTCCTCACCTGAGTGGATACAACTGCTTATGGTCTCCAGTGAACTAAACTGTGATTTGTTAAATGTTTCTTTTTAGTGGGTTCTTCAGTTTTGTTCAATATACAACCTTAGGAAAGGAGCAAGAGAAGAGGACTGAGCAGGTGAAGCAAAAAGAGAGCTAAGGCAGTGTCTCCAAATACTTGTCAGTAGTTTCTGTCTTTTTCAGACAAAACCAGGCCTTACAGTAGGCTGAGTTTGAGGGGTTCTGTCAGGTTGGGTTTTTTTTTTTAAACACGTAATACAAGATCTCCGCTTTTCCTGACAAGTATATTCCACGCTAGTTGAATAACTTCCAAGCAATGACAGTGTTAAAAAACAAGGAAAGTATTTTGCACAGGTCACTTCATGGCCCAGGATTACTCGAGTGAGAGGCAAAATAGACAGGTTTTCTAGAGCCAAGACCTCAACAAGCAAATGTAGAGAAGTTTCTCCACACATAGCAAGGCAAGAGAATAAGAAATACTATTTAAAGCTAGCTTAAAGTTGTTTATAAACATTAAATTCTTACTGAAAAAGTGAGTTAAGGGAAATACACAAATTTGAACAGAAGTTAAAAGCCACTAAGCACTGCAGTTAGCTTTTAGTTTGAACAACAGTCCACAAATCTCCACTGCAGACCGTCTGTGCAGCAAGTATTCTTCCTCATGTTACCAATCAGAAACAACCAACATCTAAGAAATTAATACCAAAAGACTCATTTCTAAGGCACAGAAAAAGAAAAATAAACATTCTGATATACAGCAGTCACCTAATACCTTGAAATGTCATGCTGCTTTGAGCAGCATGACAGAGCCTTTCACACCAACTTGAAAGAGTCAGTGCTTTTTTCCTATTGTACCTTTGTCCCACTAACACAGTAAGTCTTCCCATATGTCTCAGTAGCACTGAAGAGCACTAACAGAAGGATTATAGTCTTCCCCCTCTTCCTTGCTCCTCAAGCTGAAAGGTTCCCATACTCTGTAATTATGATTTGCAACTCTATTTATATTCTTACCTTGGAATATTCAAACGTAATCAGTATTCACCTTGTCTCTATTGGCTTCCTATGGCCACAGGCAGAACTAGGATCAGCACAGAGTTGCAAGTCACTCTTAAACATTCATTTCCAGTTTAAGAGCAGAGGGCCATCACAGAAAATGTGCTGTTCGGAGGACTTGGTGTTCCTTAACAACATGCTGGACAACAGAAGTGCTGAGCAGACAGTACAGGTCTGGCACAAAACAGCAAGCTCTTGTATACCTTACTCGTTTTGACCTGATAAATGAAAATTAGTTTTATCTGTAAAAAGGGAACTAAGCTCAAAGGGACCAGCAGGTGGGCATATCACAGCCCCACAGTTCCCAAACCTACATGCTAGAGCACAAGTTACTGAACCAGTCGAATTAAAACTGCAAACAGCTGCAAACAAACTTCTGCAGATGTTACTCATGTACGCTTCACACCCATAATTTGCAAGTCAAGTAATGCCAATATTTGTGTTCTGCAAGTACATAATTATGTTGCTACAGAACATAATATTCCTCTTGGAAGTCAGACGCAGGATCAAGAGATTTAATTCACTTAAAAGCAGAATTCTGGTTGAGACTTCACATACCTACCGTAACATGCGCACTACTGCGACTTTTTTGCTCATTATTATGTGTGTGAATAGTCAGTTATTTCAGCAAGACTCTATACGTTAAAAGCAACTTTCAGGAACACTTATTCACTAAGTCAATAATGTCTGTAATCTTTTATTACACATACGATCAAAGTTTCAAGAACTGGACTTTAACTTTAGAGTACAATGGTCAGGTTTCAAAACCACAAACATGAGCGAGAGTCCTGCTAACTACATACTAGAAAAAAAACACTTCAGCTTCCTGGACCTACTGAAGTTTAACAATACCACCTGCTGCTTCCTCAGTAACAGAACTCTACTTTTCAGCTCAGTGTGATACTAAGTGCCATACCTCTAACATCACCACCTAGATGAAATTCATTATTACTGTATCTGCTGGTTTCTACTAGAAAAAAAAAAAAGGCGATGAAACAGTGAAGACATTCCAGAGGTGGTGGGTTGCTGCGTTTGGTATTTTAGGAGAGGATCATTTAGTTGTGGTCAGGTTAATACTTATAGTCCAATTTTTCACTCCCAGAATTACAAGTCCCTTAAGATGCAACTGAGATTAAGAGTCTATATCTGCAGTTTAGGAAGATAATTATAGCATCTCTAATTACCATCAGAACAAGCTTTACAAGCTTTTTTAGTAACACCACGAAATAGCCGTATGATTAGAGACCATTACAGTTTAAAATCTGAATTGCAATTGCAGCAGCTTCTACTTGTAGGTCCATTATATAACTGCAGGATCAAAAAGGCTATTTAATTTTCACCTTTCCCACTTGACTTAAGTTTATTCCCAAGTGACAATTTTCTAGAGTTGAAACCATTCTCTCTTATAAAGTATAGTATTGCTGTAAAGTTTTTTCCATATAATTTCACAATACAGACATTCAAAATTAATCAAAACAGTTTCCATATAAACCTGCAAGTATTTAAAGTATAAAAATTAAACACGAAACACATAAAAAGCTATTATAGAACAGTATTTGAAGCATACATATAAACATTGAAAAATATCCCATAGTTAACAAAACACCTACAGCTGTTTTATGCTGCTAATACAGCAAAAAAAGCTACAGTTGAGTTTATATTCCCTGTACTTCTGTTTCCAAGTCTAGTGTAATATTCACTGATAGGAGCTGATTAAAAACAAAAAAAATATTATTTTATCAGCAGAAGCTGAGGATCTCTGATCTTCAAGAAATACTACTTCAGTTCTGAAAAGACCCTTCTCACTTATCAACAGCCTGACTTCAAACTCGGGAGGCAGGAGCTCCCTGTTCTCTCCCAAGTCAAGAGACAAGAAGCAATGCTTCTTTTCAAAAGGCCATTACAACTGACAGTACTTATTGGACTGCCCCAAATGAAAATATTCTCTTCCATGCTTTGGGAAATAAAACAAGTTTGTCCTCCTTCCTCTACCCATAAATACACATTTTTAAATGGAAAATTATTACCTATCAACACAGCTGAGGATATAACAAATCTTCCTGTTCTGCAACACCAATAAAAAAAAACAACCAAACCTTAAGAAATTACTTCAAGTGAACCATCATACAACACAAGTAATTAGTTACCTTCATAGGAAATTTTAGTGCAATTTAACGATTGGAATTTTTTAGATAAAATAACAAGGAAAATAATTTTAAAATAAATTCTTAGAAATGTCAGAAGGCTGAACACATAAAGGGAGTTTCTATTAAAACATGCAAATGCCACACTTTGCAAAACTTACAGAACCCAAAGAGAGAAATACGAGCATATTTCCCTCTCCCACTTTCCCCCTTTTCTCATTATCAGTTCTAGATTGCAGTGCTGGTGAGCCAGCTACTCTCTTCACCAAACAGGAACATATTATGCAAAAAAAACATAAGAAAAAGCATTAAGCATTAGAAACCGGTATCCTGGACAACCAAGTCATTAAACTTCATTTAGTGGAAATTACATGGATCCCACTATTTCAAACTTCCACCTAATAGCTAAACACAATTTTTGCTGAATGCACATTTTCACAAGCCTCAAAATACTGAGTAACCTATAATAATAGGCAAGATAAACCACATACCATCAACAAAATGAATAAGCTCCATTCAATAATGAAAGGGCAAATTCATACTGAATACTACGTAGTTTGGGTATATTAGGGTGGGAATTGGGTTTTTGGTTTTTTTTTGGTGGAGGTGGTGTTCAGTGGTTGTTTTTTGGTTTGTTTTTTTTTTTTTAACTAAGAAAATCTTACATTTCCACAGGCTACAAAGGCACTTGTCCTACGGACGAGTCCTGAAGACTACACCAATGACACCTTTGAAGCTTTCAGAAAGGTTCAATCCTATAATATGATAGATAGTTCTTAGGAGAGCAGCAAAAAAAGAAACAAAATAAACCCCCACAATATTTACTGGTGCTTAATAATCACCTAGAAAGGAATACATCCAGGTTACCCATTACCATTGTGCAACCCCCAAGCTTGCATCTCTAAAATGAAATTCCTAGTAACTGATAAAAAAACTTTGCACTTTAAAGTTTTACTCTTCTAGATATAATCTTAAAAATCCGACAAATTATTTCAAGTGCAGATATAAACCGGGACAAAAGCCTGGTACTTATATAGGAGGAAACATCAATACTGAAGAGTTAGTTAAAATAACTTTGCCTTGGTCTCGGTATTATTACTCACCCGCTTTGGCCCACTAAAAATCTTCCTGGTGTTTTCCTTAGATTTATCACCTTGCTTATTTGTGGATTTCTTATTGCCTTCAAGCACACCAGGTGTATCCTCTGAAAACTCCAGAAGATCTGTGAAAGGTAAAAGACACAAAATATCCATATTGAAAGTTATTGAAGTGCTAGAGCATTTCTTGCATCTGGCATTTACACAGGTGTAACTTAAGAAATTATATAATAAAAAACCCGATCTGCATCAGAAATATCAGCTTTAAAGCCAAACACAGTACTGGATGGAGCTCAGGTTTCCTGGCTAGACCGTCACAATACATAAAATATACATCACAAGGTTTACAGTCATAATTATTATAGCACCTCTGGCCCCTTGTGTAAGCTTCAAGTTACCATTTCCCATTTTGCACTCCTGTGAATCCCAGGTTGCCATTTATACGTGCTTACTTAATGGCTTACTGCTACACCTCTGAGCAGCAGGCAAATTAAACAGTAGATGGGGTTCTTCAAGAGAGTGAGATCAAGAGATTTATGAGAATACTTTTCACTACAGTTACAGGATGGAAGAATGGATCTCACTTCTCACAAAGGCAGCCTGTTTATATTTGCTTGTTCTGCTATAAACACTATTAAAAAAAAACATGGTCATCAACTCAGAAAGGAGTCAGCTGACAAAGTCAGACTCTGAAACGGCCTTTCAGTGTATTCAGTACTTGCCTTAGCAGTGGTTCTACTACTCAGTTCTGGACAGTAAATCTGCAATTCACTCATCTAATTAAATTCTTTTCCTGTTTTGTTGTTTGGGTTTGTTTTTGTTTTTCCCCTTTAAACTTGTATTTGAAGCATCATCCCTTGGAGAGCAGCTTATGCTCTTTTTACTTGGCACAAACCAGAAGTTACCATAAATTTCAAGCTGGAAACAAAAACGGGCACAGAGAAGCACTATTTCATCTATCAACAGTTTAGTAAACCTATCTATTCCAGAGAAGCTGCTACTATTTGAAAACTGCACTGCAAAAATACAAGCAGGTTGGATTGGTTACTCTTAATCTCAAGTGCACTTGCATCCAGTGAAGAGGCCTGGCCAAGCACCTAGGTAAGGAGGCAATCAAAAGCAAATGAGGCAAGCAAATTTATAAATATACTCACAAGGACACAAAACTTACCTAGTCTGGGGAAAATAAACATTCTTAGAATAAGGCTCAAACATTTCTTAAACTGCAGTAAATTTCAACAGGTTTGGCAGCACCACGGCAGCAGGATGCCTACTGCAAGGCACCCACCAGAACCAGCCTCCTGCATCCCAGCCCACTTTACGTTTCAGTTTAGGTGTACAATGTTAGTACAAGAGCTTAACAACTGAACAATCCCTCTGAAAATAACTGACCTTTTAAAGATCTTTTGATCAAATTCATCTAACAGAGGAAAAATACCAAAGACCAATTCTCATTAACTTAAAGCAAAACTGATTCTAAATCTATACAGAAGCCAACTTAGTCCATTGCTGCAACTTGCCCATTAAAGGAGTCAAATCAAATTGCTTTGATACATATAATTAAAAAAAATAATTAAAAAAATCCTGAAATACTTTTGAAGAAGCCAGGCCCTGAATACAATTCCCAAAGAAAAATCAAAGGAACAGACCTGGATCCTCCTATCATAGGTTAAAAGCTAAGAAGTTCCTTGGTTGACTCCAATAATTACAAACATGCAAATCATTCTAGAAACACAGGATGTGTTTTCACCCACCAAATTGGCACAGTAATTTGTGCCTTGTGCTAAGACTTGAAGCTGGTGTTGTGGTTAATACTGATTAACGGTACTCTGTATCAACTAAGCCACAATTTTGAAACATGTAGGTTTGTTTGAATTATACTCCTGTGTGATCCTGAACAATCCCATTTAAATGAGGTACTTTTCAATCGGACCCCCCTCCCCCCCGCCCCACAAAAAAAAACAAAACAAGCAAACAGAAGAAAACCCAACCAAACCAAATCTGCAAACCCCTTCTTGGTAAAAATGTTTCAACCACTAATGACAACAGGATAATTCTGCATTTCTGATGTTGCTAGCACATAAATGCTTTTATGATTAGCTTTGTAAGATTATCTCCAATGCTTTTATTTAAGCAATGCTCTCCGAGACCTTCCAGGTATCCTAAAAGCCCTCTCTGCATACATACCTTGCCAGATTTTCAGATGTAAACTAAATAGGTCATAGGGGAGAAATCTTTAGTTTGCATTAACCAAGCCAGGCAAAGACACAAGTAGTTTGGTAAGCCGTGACACTAATGAAGCTTGTTTTCTACTGGCTCTCTCTTGTATTACTGTTTTTTTTCCTCCTCACAGATAAGATGAGCATATTGACCTTTTTCCTCAATATGGGAGCATGTAAGGCCTTTTCCCCTGTACCTGACCATTTCAAGGTATTTATGATCTTGGAGCTCATTTGCCTGTCTCAGCTAAAATTGGAAAGAAGTTCAAAGACCAACTAGATGGCAACACCACAGTAAATTTCCCTGGGAAAAAACAACCCAGATTTGTTTAAGTGCCCAAGGGTAATTCTGCAGTAGATTTTGAAGTCCAAATAGGACTCTGCCTTAGAGGACTTTGATGTACTATTAACTGACTAAAAACATTTAACCAATTAAGGTGATTCAATTTTTGAGGAGATCCAAAGGAAGGAAAAAAACAAAACCAACACCAAGCAGGCTTGCTCACCAGAAAAGAGCTGAGTGATAGATGCTGGTACACAAAAGATACTCTGTCATCCAAAAAAAATTACAGGAATCTGATCTTTATCACCAAAAGAAAAAAATGAATGCTTGACACAAAGGTTAAGTTGTGAATCAGAACTGATTTTCAAAGCAAAAGGCTAAGCTTCAATACTTAAACTACAATAACAGGATAACTGCTACTGTAATTTAAAATCAAGAAAATTCTAAGTTCATCATCACTATACTGCTGATGAAATATATAATGAAGAAGGAGGTAAACCAAATAAAAGTAAGCATGTTAGAGATGACTGAACTTCACACATTCCTTTAGCAGAAGGTTTCAGGGCAACTTCTATATCATGTTTATGTCAATCTATATAGAAATACTGCAGTGCTTAATTTTAGTCAGCATTTTTTATAGTTTATTTAGATTTTTGCTATGCCTGACACTTTCTGTAATAATTTTATTGTCATTGGCCAAAATGAAATGTACCAAAACAAGCATTACCATAGTCCTAGGTGCATCAGCTGAAGAGGTGGGAAATAGAGCATTCTGAGACTGCAAGTTCATAAGCTAAATATATTAGAAATTTTACTGACCACACAAACCAGTGACAACCATGAAGGGATCTTTAGAAAAAGACAGAAACAAACTGATGGCACAGTTAATTCCAGAAGTATAACACCGTTCCAAAGATACAGGATTGCTCCTCAAAACTGATGCTTACAGTTGTATTTCGTTAAGCCTTACTCTTTGTCATTAGTTCAGACTGCTCCTGGATACAAGTCCTCATTGAGCTGATATAGTCAAGTAATTAAGTTATTTTCCTCCCATATTAAAAGCTCTCTTTACTAGAGCCATCCTGTAATCTGGCTAATGAAATTGTACAGGTACTGCTTCACATCTAGTAAAGTCTCACCAGTGCTTTCAGCCCCTGGCATTCTAGAAGACTATAGCTGGGAGACCCACAAGTGAAATAAAGGAGCTTTTGCTTTGCTGGGCTTGTGAAGTTATGAAGTTTCTTCATTACAAAGAAAGATCTGTGAACAGCATCTAGGACTTTGAAATCCACACCTCATGGTTTGATTAGTTTTTTGTTTGATTTTTTCTTTGTGGATTTTTTTGTTTGTTTTGTTTGGGGGGATCTGTTTTTTTTCTGTTTTGTGGTTTTTCGGGGGGGGGGGGGGGGCAGGAATTTTTTATGCTTTTGTTTGAGATTTTTTGGTGGGCTTTTTTAACCATTTTAGCAGGGAAGCCTATTGCAGAAGTAAACAAAAAAGACTTCAGTGAAAGTCTAATTAAAGTTGAATTTATCCGCTTTGCATTTTTTCCTGCACTAACAATACTGCCCATCCAATTTTTAGTACTTCCTTGAATTTCATTTGCAGAAACATTTAAATACGTATTTTTAAACTTACTTCCCTTCAACTGTGAGCTACTAGAATGGAAGGAATAGTCCACTGAAAGTTCAGTTAGAAAATCTTTGTCTTGTGTTTCATACTAAGATTCTGAAATATATTCCATAAAAGTAGGCCTAGATTATGGTAATCACTAAAACAGTGCTGTGTCAAAAAAAATATCTAAGATTGTAAAAGAAAGTATCAAATCTCTTGAAAAACTGGCTATGTCATATCACATTCTTTACACACAGAGTATCAACACCAATCTTAGGAATTTCCGGGGCTGGAACTCAGAGAGGCAATCTGGCATCTCACCTGTCAACCTGGAACAGGAACACTAGAATTTTATCTGTGGATGTATTCATTACAAAAAAGAACAGCACACACAGACCTCAGGTAGCATTAGCACCTCTCAGTACAGTCTGTAACTTCAGAAAGAAAGGCTATATTGTGCAAGATGTTCTGAAAGCTTTTTCTGAGACTTGGCATTTTCCATGGACACAGAAGTCACTTTTCTTCCAGTATGTAAAGACAGAACCTCACACCAATGCAACATATGCTACTACAACTTCAGACTCAGATCCAGAAGTCCTTGATAATTTTTCAGACTCAGCATCACTGTATTTTAGAACTTTAACATGGATGTTCCAAGTGAACCTTGATGCTCAAAATATTCAAAGGTCTCAGAAAAGGCAGCATGAACTGTATCAAAGAGCCCTATGCATTTTAGTGCAAAAATCAAGACTGTTTTGTCTTGTGCATTTTAGTGCAAAAATCAAGACTGTAGTAATGCATACTACAGGATTGAACTAGGCAATGTGCTGCAACTTAGGGAAATAACCTTGCATCACCCTTTCAATTTTCAGAGAAAAACCACAAGTCAAATCCAACATAGCTACAGTAGCACAAAACAAATCAAATGAGCAAAGGCAATGCAAAATAAAGGGGAAGCATCTTTCAGCAGAGGTCTGAGAGGCAGCTCTAATCTGAGGAGTGGAGAAATGTATTAGGAAACTAACATAACACAAACTTACATCTACCTGTGCAATGGAAATCTCTTAGGAAAGTATCTGTCATTTCACAGAGAAATAATTTGTGATACCTCAGAGTATAATGGCCTCCTCGATGAACATAGTGCTGAATGCAAACTGTAGGTACTTTAAGGCTCCAGAGAAAAGCAGATGAAAGATTTAATGGGTCAGCACATCAGCTGCATTAACGGTGTGATTTTTTTTTTTTTCCCTTGGAATAAATGGCTGAACAAAGACTCATAAGAGAAAGGGACTCAGATGGAGTATTTCATAAGCAGCCCTGTAAGTTAAATCCATTTACCAAAGAAGCTGGAATGCAAGTGTCTCATCATTATTACATTTTATGAAAACAAATCAAGTTGGTTTTTTTTGTTTGTTTGAAAACACAATCTTTACTATAATACCAGTATCAATTTGGCCCATTTACAATTTACAAAAAAAAACCCAGCAGTTAAAGTAGCCTTTGATTATAAGGCTTACAGACAATTCTGGTTTTGGAGAATGCTATAATTAGATTAATGAACTTTTTTCCTATGAAACTTTATTTCTAGATTATATTAACAGAAGCTATCTGTAGGAAAAAACAGCTTCTCCAACATTTGCAAAGCTAGACTTAAGTCCTCCCCTCTCCCCATCACATGAAATACATCTTGCCAAAGTCTTAAAAATGTTAACAACTTCAGTGAATGGATAAAAACTTCTCATTCTTCATGCTCCAAGAAGTTCCCTAAAACAGTGGCAGTGTTTTGAAATAGTTATTCCAGCATGCATGATTCTTTGGCATTAGACTTTTTCAGAAAGAAAAGGCTAAAAGAAGCCTTTCAAAGTTATTCCTTTTCTTCACCAACACATCTCAATCTTAATCAAAGTCATTACGTAGCACCCAACAGACCACCAAGCAAGCCTAATGTTTCAAAGGCACTCAAAATACCAGAACTTGCTCAGCAAGCGTGCCCATGCAGAAGATTGGGGTAAAAGCAAAAGCAGAAATACATCAATATGCAGAGGCACACTCAAAGCCACTCATCTGACTGGCACCCCATCGGTGCTCACAGCCTCTCCCTTGAGCTGTGCATCCTTGGGTAAGAGAACTTGAGAAAGGTCCAAACTGTTTACAAACATATCCAAAAGCACAAAAAGGAAACAGGTATTTCATATCTTCAAGAGCTACTTAAATTTCTGCACTCAGCTCCATAATTCTACGTTGATGTGGAGCTTCTGAGGGAAGATATCTGCCTTCCAGGCATAGGCACTGTATGCTCAACACACCAAAAAGGTAAGAATCTTCTGGTTAAAAAAAAAAAAAAAAAAAAAAAAAAAGCGAAACCAAAACCCAAACCTCTACCCCCTGGCAAGAGGTTGAGGGGTAAAAAGTGTACTACAAGACAGGTATGAGGCACCAAACAGGACCACAGTAGAAATAAGGAAATTTAACTTTTACATTTCCAAATCAGTAATCAAAAAACTTTCAGGTATACTGCAAGAAGAGCAAAATACAAAGGTCAACTAAATTTAAATGTTAAGTATGTATTCCAGAAGAGTTCTGCTTACCTGCATTAGTACTGAGCTGGCTATCCTGGGAACAGTTTTCATTGCCATCAGAGGTTGACTGTAGCGAAGAAGATGGTGCAGCTCTATTTCGTTTTTTGTTAGCTTTCCTTTCCGCCACCTGCCACTCTTCATCTTCATCCTCACTTTCACTCAAGTCATCAAACCCAAAGTACTTGATTTTGTAATTGGAACTCCCAGAACTTCTAGAGGCACCTTCATCTCCCTCTCCCTCATCTTGATCATCGAACCCAAAAAATTCTAACTTGACATCTTTTTTGGATTTGGTATTGCTTGGTCGAAACCTGGTTGTAGTTTTTGTAGTAGCAATGTCTGCTTTTTTTCTTAAGCGCCCAGCTTCTCCCAGGTCAGTAGGGGCTGTGGTGGTAAATTCATCAATTCGTTCCATGGTATCCTGTATAGTAACATTGCAAACTGACAAGCAAGATGGATGTAGAACAGTGTAGTCTCTAGTCCGTCCAACCGTCCCTCTAAAACTGGTCCCGCTACTTAAAGGAACTTTTCTTGCTGAGTTCAGACCATCATTATTTGACTCATTATTTGCTTTGGATAAAGACTGACTAGTGCCATCCATTAGCTTGTCAAAATTTGTTGCCCCCTGCAGTTTTGCTTTGTTGGATCGACAGTACGTCCTACAGTTGCTTGGCCTAGGAATAGTTTGCACAAGTTCTTCACTAATGGCTTCCTTTGGGTTTTCAGTATCTTCTTTATCACACTCCTCATCCTTGCTCTTCATCTCTGAGAGACGTTCATTGTCAAAATCTAATATATACTCTCCAGTTCTGGTATCTTCAGTATCATCCTCCCATTCATACAAGTGAGTTCTTAATGGGCCCTTCGTCCGAGATGTTTCTGATGGACAGTCTGTTTTTCCGATGTGGGAGTCCCAAGAATCAGGCAAGTCCTTGGCTTCAATGTTATATCCAGAAGTGTCTGTAGTTTCAGCACTGTTTTTGTTACTGTCTTCGGCGTTCTCATAACCGAAATGACTGTTCTCATTATCTTCATTCAAAGTCTGTATTTTATCTACAAGAAAAGATAACTTTATAACTAAAAAGCATTATAAAAAAAATAACATCCGTGCAGGCAACTTTGAAGTCACAATGTAACAGCAAATACTCAGTGGTCAATGACAAAAAACATTAAAGAGGTCCTTATCCTCCTGTTTTATACATTCAAGCCTTCCAGTTTAAAATTTCCTTCTGAGGTCAGGAAAGGGGATGCATGGGCAGGTTTCAGCTTGTCCCTTCAGATATTCCTGGTCTGAGAACTAGACAGCAGTGAGGTATCAGCACGGAAGAAATTAAAATCAGTGTGGACCACAGAACCTACTGATGAAGTAAGTAAAATTGCTGAAAATTAACCTATAATTCACTGCCTACCTCACTAACTGTACAGCTACTAAAAAACAGTGAAAACAATCCACTAATGTATCTGTACTAAAAACAGTAGAGTCCCTGTTACAAACTGTACCACAAGTTTCAATCAACGTACTCCAAACAGAACGGCATACAACTTCAGTGACTGTTATTTGATTTTTCTGTTCAAATTAAAATATTTGGACTTCCATGAGAAATAAAAAAATGCAACAGTTTTTATCACAACATTAAATCACTTCTGAAATGCAAGTTTTTACAATTAAGGTCTACAGATCTGAAGAAGAGCTGCTGCCACAAGTTAGTCTTGCACTTCCCCAACCCATAGCTACACTTCCATCTTATGCTCTCAAAGAGAACAAATTCCACCATAAGAACCCAGTTTTTGTAAGATTTGTTTCCAGCTGACCAGCATTCACACAATAGTAATGCCAGGGAAAACAGTACGAATTCTTCCACCTGTTATCCTCTAAACTGGTAGGGAAACCATTCCCCTTGGTTTCCGCAAAAACCAACAAAAGCTAAGTGGATTTGGTATCAGAGTTCCATGAAGATAATATCATCTGCATCTGCCATGCTCTGTTGCTGTACCTCACACAAAGATACCCAGAAACACAAGTGTGTTACTTCCTGGAAACTAGATGAGCAGAAATTTCTTTGAAATTTCTGAGACAGTATAACCCAAGGTGTCTACTGTTACTATCAACCCTCACTGTACCGGCTGCCTGGGCCAGGAGAAACAAGATAAGAAGCGTAACTGGAACGCAGAGGACCCTGATGCACAGAAGAGTAGCACATAATGAGATAAACTGGAGAAACAGAAGCAACTGGCACAGGGACAAGTACAAAAACAAAATGCTGGAAGAGAACATGCTTAGAAGACACAGGTGCAGAATGCTACAGTAATAAAAGAGGCTCCACTGGCAGAATGCAATAGCTAAGGTTCAAATCTGTTAGGCAGCAAATGCTCCCTAAATTCATCACTAAAATGAAGGCTTTGGCATTTTTTAGCACTAGTCCTGACTGCAGTAAACTTCATCAGCTACCATTTACCCAAATGGTACCAAAATTTCACAGCACTGACCAAAAGGTTACAACCTTCCTGATGAGGAAAGTGAACATCACTTCTGCCCTGGCGCTTTTGTCCATTTGTTTTCAAAATTACAACCACATCATGTAAATGCCATCCTTGCGTATGTGGTTTATAAAAGAACTTTGAGGTGCAAGCAGAAAATTCTATTTTACAAAAATGACTACCAAGAACAGTTTTGCAAGAAATTGGCTTAATCCCAGCTGAAATTCTTCTGGGCGACGGGACAAGCACTATCTCACAAACTGCATTTAAGGTCTCTGGGGTCCACCCGAGGTTTGTCAGAGGTTTACATACTCGGCAAGAGTATGTGAAATGCAAAACTAAATTCCCCAAAGCACAGCCTCAGCCACCTCAGTGGTGGAATCTTCTTTAAGCTTTTTCAGTATCTATGCATTAAACAAAAAAAAATCTTGTTATTCCCATTTCAATCTCATGCTTGTGATAATCTAAGCGGCCAAACCAAAATTAATCTTTCCGTAATCAGTTTGACAGTGCACAGTATGTTCCTCCTTCACCCATATGTTTAACATTATTGTGCAACTGAAGACTACCATAATACTCAGACATTAAAACCACCAAATGAAACTCAAAAGATTTTCTGATTTTCTCACTAAAATACACTTATTTTGCAGCCTCACCACTACCATTCCATATAATTTACTTAAAGTCTAAGCAATATTTAAAATAAGTACATTAACAATCTGTCTGTCTTGGCTTACTAAACAATACTGAATTGTTGGGAAGATGTTCCAGTATGTATATCTGGAAAGGGAACGGTTTTCCCATCCCAAGGAAGTATGGGATTTTAAAGAGCCACATTTCATACCAGGACTAAATAAAATCTCATCTTCCCAGGGAAGCAACAGAATATATATGTGGGTTTGCACATCGCAGCCCAAGACTCAAACAACTCAGGAATCTCTTTTGAGATGAAAAAAGCTGAAATTTAATTTTACATTGTCTCTTTGCTTGACTCATGAGCATCTCAGCTACAGTATGTGCTCTTAAGTAGAAATGATGATCAACACCTCAAGCCTAAAAACAGTCTGAAGAGGCCAAAGATACATAAAAATATATACAACTCATATTCATCACTGGCATTGACAAAAAAATTAATGGAAAAAAAAATCCAAGAAATCTGACTCCAAAGAAACATTAATCAACATCCTGGGGAATAAAAAAAAAAAAAAAAACGACAGGGAAGAAGAATAGGAGTGAGTGCCCCGTTTTGTTGTTTGTTTTAATTGGGGTTTTGTTGTTGTGGTTTGGTTTGTTGGGTTTTTTTTGTTTGTTTGTTTTAAACACTCTGCTACTAGGACATCACAAAAATCTTGACTAGCCTGTAATACATACAGAGAGTATTTTCTGTAAGAGTGAATGTTAGTTATTTTTGATGGTGTAGTTACATGCACTGAAAAATTATTTTAAAAGTTGTTCTAGAATATTTTAGAATGGGCCAAAATTAGCCTAATATTTGTAGGACTCTGAGCAAGCAACACAGTCCCATTTAGTTGTCTGTGACCTATTAAGGGCACAAACCTTTGTACTCTTATTGCAGCAGCCTCATTTGGACAAACTGAAGCATCAGTTGACAGACATCACGATAAGACCACTCCTACTTCATATCTATTTTCTCCATTTCATTTTTCTGGCTGCACTGAAGCTGCTACACTTTTTCTTCCCAGAGCAGCTCCTATTCTCACCTCCAATTTCACACTTACCCAACCTGCCTGCTCTCCTCATGCTTGTTCCCAACAGTCCAAAGTACAAAGCTAAAGAAATTAAGCTAGCTATTAATTCCTCAGTGCTACTCTCCGCCACCTCTAAAAGAGCCACCAAAATGTACACGTACTCATGGTATTAGTACACCTGCACATTAGTAAAATTTGATGAGACTGGCTTTAAGCAGTAGCACCACACATTTAGTTCTTTCAGACTTGAATTTGTTGTTTCTCTTCACCTGTAAATGTGAGGAAAATCACCTTCTCCAGTCAACTCAGCTGACTAATAAATAACAAGACCATTCTATCCTAGTAAAACAGCTGTGTTTTGTTTTACTGCACTTCTATCTTAAAAGTCAAGCACTCATTAGTAACAGCCCTTTCTGTACCACAGTGGGACTTCTGCTGCCTTGCTATAAGCTATGCATCATTTTCCCCATGTTAATTTTCATAATGTTAATTTCCCACGTTCTTACGGAGCTTTCAATTGTCTCTGAAAAGACTTCACAGGTATCAACCTAATGTTACACCTCACTTTTCACTCTCAGCTAGTAATTTAATACAGCATAAAAATTTACTCAGCAAGTAAGTGGCAGTTAACCTCCCCTTTCATTCTGTGCCTATCCAACACCAAAACTTTATAACCACACAGTACTTGAGTAGTTTTAGCAACTGCAGCACAGCGGTTTTTCCATCTCAAATAATAAGCAAAGCTGCTGGAAAATGGAACCAGTAAACTGTTTACCATGCACCAGGTACAGAGTTTGGCTTTAAAACTGAATCATCATAATGCATTAGTAGAAAACTAGGCAATGACATTTAGAGAAATACTTCCTTGAAGGATTCAAACGCTCCTTTTCATCTCATCAGTAGGTCAACAGCTATCAGACTGAAGCTTCCCTACCAGGAATTGCTGCAAATCACTTGCTAATTGCCCAAAGGCACACAATACCAGCAATTCTCATAATATTGATTTTAAAAATTACTATATTTATCGGTAGTAACTATTACAGCAGAAGCTAGCATGATTGCAGGAAACATGTAACATATAATTTTATTTACAGATATAGAAAGCACAGAGAAAATAAGAGAAAATGAACTAATTCTGAATTACTAAATTCTGGAGTTCAGAGGCATGTGATATCTTCTCCCAACTTTAACTACAACTAGGCTCTTTTGGGGCTCAAATACCGTAATAAGTCTCCCAAGTAATTTCAGATCAGCAATAGCATGTAAGTACATAATACACCAGAGAGGCTTTCTCCCCACCCCCTCAGGTACTAGCACAATATTCTTAAGAACCTTAACATTTTCCTGCAGCAGTCATAATTTGTTTTCCATTTAAATTTCTGGAAGTGAATAGCCTGAGTATGAGAGAACCAATGTAAACAGCTGCCATGTTTAAATTACAAGTTAACTGATAAAGAAAAATGCTCACAAACATACCTCTTTACATTATGTCACTAGCAAGGTAAGAACGTCTTAAGTACTGTGGTTAATTAAAAAAATAACTGAAAATTCTACTCTTTCCCACCGAACCCACTGAAATCTTTTCAGAGCTGCACATGACCTAACTTCACAAAGCTGTATTTAAGTGATCATGATAATTGTCCCAAGTAACCTTAGTAAGAGGACCATTAACAGACAAAAAAATCAAATTCATACACTGCAACATATTAAATTTATGAAAAATTAATAGCTTATATTCCTCTAGATATATGAAAATGTTCAAACAGTGGGAATGTGACAAAATCCCACTGCTTTTTCTGTAATAAACCTTTAAACATTAAACAAATATGCATCAAGACTTGTATCATTTATACTAGACAGATATAA